TTTTTCTCTGATATCTCACCCGATGCCTTGAAAGCTGTCTGTTATTATGGGTAGCCATGCCGATGCAGATGGTTGTCATGGAATACCGGTAAAGCTAATAAATGCGTGTCTTTACGTTCCCCTTTACTTTTCCTTACAGAACTCATTATTTCCTAAGTCATGGAAACAAGTTACTGTGAAACCACAATAAAATTCCTGATCCCGCTTTCCCCCAAAGATCTCCGTCCAATACCCATCCTCTCGACCTCTTGAAAGATTATGCCATTTACAAATGTCTACCTACTCAAATTTCCTTGCTCCGCTACAATCCAGCTTCCGTCCTGGCTTTTGCACACAATCCGATAATCTGAAAATCTCCTCCTACAAACTGCTATGTTAATTTAAGGTCACCTTTCTTGCCCTTCTAGATTTTTGGCCTTTGATATATTAAATCATTACCTTCTCCTTTCTTAAAACTCTATCTTTCTTTTCGCTGATGTTACAGTTTTTCCTTTCTGACCGATGCCAAGTAGACTTCTTTCCTAATCAGCTTCCATCCCCCACCCCATATATTCATCACCTCTGGAGTACTTAAGGCTCATGCAACTCCGCTTCCCCATTTTTACTAACCAAAATTCATAAAACATTTCTCCCATCACTTTTATTCAGATGATTCTCAAACTTATCTTTCCTTCCCTCTTCCTGACACTGAAACTACAATGGTAAGAATTCAGGAGGACCTAAACACTAATAGCTCTTGGGCTGCTGAAAATGGGCTTAAGTGGAACGTAGAAAAGCGTCAAGCTTGGGTCCAGTTCTCTCCCCCATCCCTTATCTCCTATCTCTCCGTTTACAATTAACAATTACCCTATTTCTTGCTGTCCACCGTCAACAACCTTGGGGTTCATCTAGATCAGACCTTCTCCTGAAAGCCCCGTACGGCTGATTCTCTATTCTCCATCATTCCGTCGTGCCAGCTATCCTTCTCCCATTTAGTACGCGTAAACATCTGTTTCCTCCCTTATTTTCCCTCAGTTTGATTACGGATGTGTTGTGTACGCCAACTCACGGGGGAGTTTAGGATAAGCTTAATCGACTAATGAATTGTTTTGTACGTTTTCTCTTCTTCAAGGAGGTCCAACATGACTGATTTGTACACCGACTTGAAGTGGTTATACCCTTCTTACCGAAAGCAATTGGCTTTTTCCTCTATCACATTGTATCTAATACTCTACACACACTCGTCAAATTCGCTCCCACCCTTCTAACCTCTCTCTAAGCATAAAACTACTCCGGTCAGCCGTTCCTTCCTCGTCTATGCCTCCAACCCATGGAATTCCTTGCTCACTCTTCCGCTTAGCTCCATACCTTTCTTTCTACCTTTAAATCCAGTTTGATTACCTCTTTCCTTCCAACTTGGTACCGAAAATTGCCCCTTTAATTTACATAGTAGAACATTTTCATATTATATGTATATACATTTGTATATGTACATACATATTTGTATAGCCTTATCAGTCTAGAATCTCTGTAAAATATGTTGTATTCGTATTTAATTATCCAAAGGGACTTTAAGTCTCTAAATAAAGTTTATTTTTCATTCATACGAATCACAATTATCAAGCAATTAAACAATAATCCTTCATCAATATGTTGAAAATAGTTAATTCTGACGAGTGTAGGGTGTAAAAGATGAACCTTTGGAGTTAGGTTTTGCAATTTAAAAAATGGTCAAAAATTATACTTAAGAAGAAAGAAGAATATACATAAAATGAAACGATGTGCCGCCCGCTCAGTACTTTCTACTTCCACTTGTAACCACAGAAAAAGTTTTTCCAGAATTTATATCCAATATGGAATATCTTTTGCCTATCTTCTTTGAAGAAGCATTTTTACTTTGAAAGTATGAGGATTCTATTTTACAGCCATTCTGTATATTCTCCGCAACATCTTGCAAAATTCACAAATATCGTTTGAAATGAAATGAAGAGTTTCTACCGCTAAAAATCCCATGAACATAAAACAATAAAATATTAAGTAAACGATATCTTAATATGTTTTATCGATTTTTATCGCAGAAGGGATTAATTATGGAAAACATAATAGTGATATTTTGATATCTACACTACCCGTCAAAAGGTGACAAGAAAAGTTTGTTTTTCATAAGTAATAAAGGCTCAGAAGTACAAAATAAACTATTTTGTTTTTTAGAAGAAGTATTGCCATCTCTGGCTTTAATCCCTCTTGCTTTCTGGTTTTGTAGAAAATCGTGCAATCTTGTTGTCTCACTCTTCCAATACAGCCGGATTTAGAATTTCAATCATTATAGGGGTTGATCCCATGACTGTTTAAGTCTCATGTAAGTACAATTGGATTAAGGTCTGGACTTCTTGTTGGCCAGAGTGTTTAGGTCTAGGCAAATGTTATCTTATGAGGCCGAGCATTACCATGCATAAGGTATAATTCAGAGCCTAAATATTCCTAAAACACTACACGATATTGTAGGATTATCTCCACATATCTTAGAATATTCAAGTCCCCTACCCCTTGGATTGGTACCAACTCGTCTCGGCTAATAGGACTTTTTTCCATTCCTCTATAGTCGTAGGTGTTCCCTTCCAAATATTAATGGATTTGGGCCAAACTATTTTTGGTGATTCTACACTTCAAAATATCGGACACGTACCCGCTACCACTTGTGAATAGGCCCTGGTTTTGTCAAAAGAAAATTTGAAAGTTGAAATTTTCCATGTTTTAATATTTTCATTTTTCCGTTTTACTTACTCAAATCAACTTTGTGAATATATCATTTTACAGCATTTTTTTTTTGTGTAGATTGCAATAAAAATAGAGTAAAAGCTATAAAAGTTTATCAATAACCAAACAATTTCTAAAAACCAAATATTTTTCAAGTAAATTAAATAGGTGATATATTTTTTCGTGCAACCAATACGAAATTTCGTTTTTAGCACCTCTAGACACCCCCATATAAATTGTTGTTTGCATTTAAAGTTATCGTTTTTTGACCTCTAAAAATCTTACGATTTTTAAGAAGTCGTTATCGGAATATCTGATTATAACGGATGTATTCAAAAAGGGCTAAAAGGATTTTGACGTCAAACATACTGAGGGGACTGTGTAAATATTAAATTAAAAAGAAAGAGGAGAATTATAAGATGTTAAAAAAGGGGTTAAAGTATCAACGGAAATAAGATAACTCACCGTTCGGAGATTCCAAACAGAGATTCCGCTGAAAAAGAAAAAGCACATTAATATTTTTTAAAAACTTCTGATAGTACCTATGTACTATAAAAATATATAAAATATTTCTATTAGACAATGCACAAAATAGCAAAATTATTTGTTAGAAATTAACCTAGTTTTTATAAAAAGGAAATAATAGTCCGATTCTAATGTTTGACACAGTTATAAAATGCACTTGACAATTTCTTTAAAACGAATTATCAACCATGAAAATCGGTCTCCTAGGTCGTCGAAATTATCAGTCAAAAAATTAATTTACACCGATTTCCGCGAAAGTTTTAAGGGTTTTATAACGCAAGAATCGCAATGGGGGGGGGGGTCATCGTCATGATCATTTTCTGACCTACTTTGCTTATAGAATGTTTATTAAAATATGCAAAAAAAGCAGTATTTTGTTTATTTATCTTTTATAAATCATACCAAATTAGAATATTCTGCATCATAGAACATTTTTATCTTAATCAACAATGAAATTAATACACACCAAAAATAATATTTTTTTAATCTCTAAATAACGATTCGTGATCATTTCATTGCGTCTAAAATTAAATTTTGAAAAAAAGCTTCATTAAGTTCCCGGGTTTGAATGCAGCGGCATTTGAACCCGGGACCTTTACGCGCGGGCCGTGTCAACGCCTAACCGTTGTGGCCACCGTCCCGTCATAATCTTCACTTATTAATATAACCAAAGGTTTTAATTGTAATTTCTATCCATTTAGATTGTAATAAGTACAAACGTGAAATGGTCCAATCTATTATTGGCATTATAGAATGAAAGATAGATTGCAATCGCATTGATTGCTGATCATAAAAATGAGATAAATCGTAATTGCGTTCAAGGTTTTTTTTTTCTTCTATCGAAAAGAGAGGGACAAAATCAGCTATTTGTTTTCATTCCGGGCTGGCGGTCAGCTTGAGCAACCGCTTATAATTTATGGGTCTGGTTTTCAGCGGGCGGAGAAATAAAATCGACTTTCACTCCATGGGCAAATAGATTCTGTCGGAAGAACGAAGGCGATTGCAACCGCTCCTCGGTCACGTTCTATTCGCCTTTTCTGTCTAATGACAGGCGCAGTTGCACCAGGGGGAATATCAAACGGATCTCCTTTTATCGTTTTAACCGAAAATTAAATCATGAATCAAGAAAATAGATAATCAGTATCAAATTAATGCTGGTTTGCGTTGAACTGGTCGACTCACGTTAAGGTCCCATAAGTAACCAATACAAGCCCCAAGTCAACTCAGCACTAAGCTCTAGACTGCTACTGAAAAATCAGCCATCACAGAACGTAGCTTACAACCAACATAGCGCATACTAGATATATCAATTGCCCAAGTACTCCAGAGCAAATAACAATAATAAACGCGAAAGAATCATTTCTATTGCTGTATGCAGCGAATGAAAGTAAACTATGGCAGAGCTACTTCCTAAGCCCGACTTGTTGTCTATGGATTGCAATACTTTTAATGATTAAAAAAAGAATGGACGTACGTACTAAAGTTATGTGTTTTTCCTGGTTAAAGTACACCCTTAGACCAGGGTGTTTATTTATATACATGCTCCATTAATGATATTACATGTATGATGCCGATTCAAAAATAATTTCAACAAAAACAAAAGTAAACAAAAATATGAAGATGAACAAAAATCAAAAGAAACCAAACTCCTTTTCAAAACACAAAAGAAGACAGTTGAATGAAAAAAATTAATTGTTCAGAAAAATAAAATGGCATGTTCACAAATCGGCAGAATCGCCGGGTTATGTGTACATGTGTGTGATAAAGCAATTCATTGATTGGTCGATTAAACGATTTATTTAACCACGCAAAGTTAGACCTCGAGGATCTTTCTTACACTTAACGTAAGTAATGCATTGTACATCATACTCTTTTAATCTTCACGATTTATTTTACAAATAGAGAGCAAGAAAAAAAGTTATAAATTTATAAGGTTATATGCATTTACCTATGTAAAAACAACATTAAGAATCAAAAGGAAAAAAGAAAAGATAAACAATAAAAAATAAAAAACAATAATTTTTGATAGACATGACTCCAAATTAACTAACCAATTAGGTTTTATTTTCGTTTTATTTTAGTTATATAGAGAATGCAAAAACACATACTATAATATGAATTAATTTATGTTTCTATGATTTTATAATGTTTTTACTTATTTTCTGTCAGATGTTTTAAATATTTCCTTTGAAAACACATAGTACGAGATAGTAGTGTAATAATTTTAATGATTAAAAAATAATGGATGTACGTAGTAAGGAGAGAGTGTGTGTGTGTGTGTGTGTGTGTGAGAGAGAGAGAGAGAGAGAGAGAGAGAGAGAGAGAGAGAGAGAGACTGAGAGAGTGAGAGAATGACATTGGTGTAAGAGAGAGACAAAAGAATAATTAAATAGAATTGGAAATAAATTAAGAGATAAACAGAGAGAATGAGAGAGGAGGGAGAGAGACTAAGCAACTTTCTATCTTCAATTCGTTTAATTATATTAAACATAGATAATATGTGCGTGTATGGACGTGCTCTTGTGTGATTGAATAGCTTATTTAATGATCTGCGTGTTTATGGAAAATAAGTATTCAAACCAAGTTCGCTAAAATCCCCCTATTCGTTCTTCCTAATGAAGTGTTGATTTTTTATTTCCTACGTCCGTCCTTAATTGTATTTAATTAAGACATCAGTATACAGTGTGCTTTTCTAACACCAGTATATGTCCGCATGTTTCTCTCGCTCTGGTCTTTTTCATAGTTCAAGTAATTATTATTCCTGAACTATTGAGCTTAAATCAGATAATGTCATTTCATCATTTGTATAATACAATGTCATCATTTTTTCCGAATACTGAACTATTTAAAACTTTGACGGCTATTTTCATCATTTCCGTTATTATAATTAACATTAAACGGTGTATTCCCGGGCCACGATCTTATTATTCCTAAAATCCTCCGAAATTTATCCTAAAAAGCAAGTGTACATTACAACTATTTGCAATGAAATATTTTGCACAACTTATTTTTCCATCAGTGGAAACTGTCTTTAATAACGACAATACCAAAACCACACAAATCCTCCTGTGCCCCTCTTGTAGAGCAATAAGCCTCCTTTTCCCATTTTATCTAAAATCTTTGAACGTCTCCTACTTAAAATACCAATTTCTACTCTGAAAACTTAATTCCTAACAATTAATTAAGGTTTTTAGTTGAGATAAAAAAGTCAATGGCACGAGCGGGATTCGAACCCACGATCGGATTGGATTCTCGACGACAAATGAAATGGCCACGGAGAGCTTTAGTGAAGTATACTTCATTTTCAATCATTAAATTCAATAACGTCGATTAGAATCCAATCCGATTACACGGCATTTGAAAAATGGCAAAAAGGAGCGAAAATTCAAAAGGTGGGGTTGAGATGGGAAGTTAGTGTCCGAGTGGATCGAGGTCACGATAGCTCAAGTGGTAGAGCAGCGGCGTATCTAGCCGAAGATCGTGGGTTCGAATCCCGCTCGTGCCGTTGACTTTTTTATCTCAACTAAAAACCTTAATTAATTGTAATATATTAATTGGTCAAGCGGACCACGAAATTAGTGAATTTAATTCCTAACCATCAATTTGGATTCCAACCTCTTTCTATTCTACTTTTCAGCAATGAGCACCATCTTAGCCTGAAGTCCTTCCTCTCGGAGCGATGGTTTAAAGTGAGAATCGGTAATTCACCCATCACGCCAATTATAGCTGGCGTTCCAACAGGATGTATCCTAGGCCTAATCCTCTACATCATCTACACTGCTGACCCACACATCCACACACACAACTTATAACCTAAGCGGTCGACACTGCAATCTTATCAACACACTCCAATCATATTCCAGCCACAGAAGCAACTGGGGCACTCGGTAGCGGATCAGGTTGAACGAACAAAAAAGCCAATGCGTTACGTTTACGCCAAACGTCAAACCCAGTGCACATTAACTACAGGACAACACGACCAACGAACCAAGTTCGCAACCTTGAGTTTTACTTAGATAACAGATTTACGTGGAAACAACTTGCAAGATTAAAACGACAAGTACTTAACAAAATATATGGGTTCCTCAGACACGGGGACCAAAACCAACACTACGCATAACATATTAACCGCTTACAAAACACTCATCCTATTTGACTTACGGAGTGGAACTGTGGGGCTCGGTCAATTCCTCCAGTACTAAACGAATTCAACCTTTCAATCCAAAGTTCTCCGCAGTATCCTCAACGCTCCCTTCTACGACACCAATCAAAAGACCTATAAAGATCTTAAAATCCAGTTGGTGAAAGATCTTATCCGAACATTTCCACTTTAAACTATCTCTCCACCCGAACCCATCAGCCCAAAATCTGTCTTCAACATCACACCCTTACAATCAATCCTCTACGCCGTTTAAACGACGGAGGCCTCGTGACCTTTTATTTTAAGCCATCCAGTTACATAAAGGAGAACTGGCTGATTTCTCTCCCTACTGTTTTTTGGTCTGACAGATCTGTATATAGCTCAATTATGTTCATCAGTAGTATAAAATAGTTATTAAAATTAACAAGCATTGAACTATAAGTTATAAAGAGAAAACCAAAAAATAAACAATGCCTAATATTATAACACTTCTAAAAATTTGCATCAACTGCGGAGATAATTTTTTTTCCAATTATGTGATTTTTTACATGTGCATAAGTTTATATATATTTTATTTAAATGAAAATGTTAATATCGGCATCCAGTTGAGCAAGTCAAACAATCATTTATATGATAACTCGATTTTTAGTTTCAATAAATTATGCCCTTTTATTTTTATTACATGCTTTCTTTGTTTTTCTTATTTATTTCCCTTAGCATTTTTGGCAATAAAACCTTACGATGAGCAGTTGGAAGTTGTATATAGGTAATATAATATAAAATCGGTGTGTTTCCTTAAAACAAATATTAGAATGTTAAAATGATACTTAGACAGACAATGTAGTCAACATAAATGCACAAAAATTTATTTGCTTGTATTATTTTTGTATAAAGAAGAAGTTTCTTTCTTGTTAGTTAAATGATTTTAGGAGGTTTCTTCTGCAGGAAAGTTTTTATGTAGAAATCACGAAATCACGTCCTGTCTTTTCTAGGCAGGATATTCTTTTAAACTGAAATCTCCTGGTTTATCCTTAGTGTAAATGTTGTACGTGTCGTAAACAATAATTGTTGTTTCCTGCACTGAAATTCCCTGGGCGCGGGGATATGTTTATCTTGCGTCACCACGTACACTTTCAACCAACCTCCCGTTTTAATTTACACCGGTGAATTCCCTTTCGTTGACATTTATCCAACCGGGGCAAATTGATTTTCTCATACAAGACTGCGTGACGAGGCTTCGGTTTCGCAGGTGACGTAAATAGATTCGCATCTTCCGTCGGACAAATTGGCGCGAAGGGGTTCGGTTCAGCAAGTCGGCGATAAAGGATTACAGTTTCACTGACGAGACGGTCAAAGGTTCGAAAGAAATATAACCGATCTTCAACCAATTGCTCGTCCGACTTTTTAATGAACGATAAATCTTGGTGGCGTGGATCCATCCGTGCGAAATCCGGGTAGGAGCAGCTGTTTCACACCTGAACGAAGAAATTACCTCACCGTTTTTCCTAGCAACTTTGATAGTAAGAACCCCTTATTTTATAATTCTTGAATTAATAACTTTACTAAAAGAATACAAAAATCCAACGGCGGCTTATAACTAATATATTGTTACAAATTATTATAAAGCAGCTGGTGTGAAGTAAAGTAATCACTGACATTACTCCTTAACTGCCAAATAACTGGTCATATTCCTGGATTTTAGGAAAACCCTTATTTAATATAAAGGTTGAAGTCATAATCATACTATCATATTTTCGCTAAAAATCAACTATATCAGTTATTCTAGCCGATATTAAAATATAAAAACCAGCTCATCACTATTTGATAACTTGTTTTTCGAAACCTCGTCGTAATATAGAAAGATAGGTAGACAGACAGATGGATATTGACTGATTAACGGTTTATTTATACACGCAAAAGTTTGGTTACACAATAACACAGACCTCTAGAGAGGGAGAGTATGTGAGTGAGTGTGAGAGAGACTAAGGGGTGCTTTGAACATTCTGATATTTGTTTTATGGAAAAGTCAAAGGATATATTATTTTCCCTTTATACAACTTCCAGCTGCCCACAACGTTTTATTCCCAAACTTAATAAGCAAAATAACGTTGACCAAAAATAAAGAAAGCTTGTAATAAAATAAAAGAGCAGAATGTACTGAAACTAAAAATCGAGATATCCTATATCTCCTCTCCCCTCTCTCTCTCTCTTTCTCACTCAGTCTCTCTCTCTCTTACACACACGCGTAATCACACTTCATCTCTCATTTAATTTATCTGTCTGTCTCTTCCTCTCTAGTTCACTCACCCTTCCTCTCTCATTTAAATTCTCTATATGTCTGTCTCTCTATGTCTATCTTAGACTCCCTCACTTAGTCTCTCTTTCTCTCTCACTCTCAAATAAAGACTCCTCACTCTCTCACTCTCAAATAAAGACCAAGTGAGACAGAGAGAATGAAAGAGAAACAGAGAGAGAGAGAGAGAGAGAGAGAGAGAGAGAGAGAGAGAGAGAGAGAGAGAGAGAGAAAGAGAGAGTGTGTGTGTGCGTGTAGAGAAAAACAAATTTGTTATAGAAAAAGAATTACTATAATACCAATATAATTTTACTAGTCTACATTCTTATATGACTACAGCTTAGAAAAGAAACATTGTTATAAAGAATATAATATGGATATGTTTGTCAAAATGTTCGAAAATATTTCAA